AGTCTGATTCTAAACTCTGACTGATGCTGTTTCTGTTCTGATTCTAAACTCTGTCATTCTGTTTTTGGTCTGATTCTAAACTCTGACTCTCTGAAGGGTTCTTATAATTCTCTCAGGCCTGCAACTTTCCCTTCTTTTCAGTATCTTGTTAATAACAAAGTGGTCAGATCCACCACAGTTCAGAAAGAAATCATAGATCAAGGGGTTTAACCCTTGCACTCCGAATATTTCTGATACCTTAATTAAGTTTCTATAGTGACATTCCCTTCATTTCATTTCAGATTCATTCACTTTCATTTCAAACGAGGCAAACTACAAATATTTATAAATTCACGTTCCAAACTTCCTTCGTCAATTCACTTAACTCGAGCAGCAAGCTCTTGTCCTATCAGCTAGAATTTCTCTATCATGATAAATAAATTTCCAGAAAATTATACTTGACTCCATAGAGGCAAAATATCGAAGTCGCCGAAAACTGTGACAGTTACGAGCGATTCCCAAGCTTCCCGAATAGTTGGTCCCGCGTTTGTCGAAACACGCATAATGCTCTAATTCCAGTATCAAACGGGAGCCGTCGGTAACGGCTGTGTATAGGGGTCGAGTGAATAGCTAGCTGCGCGTATACATGTACATAGATCTATGCATGTGTATATATGTATATAGGAAGGGACAAGATGTTTCAGGCTGTGCGACATGCATGGCCCAGATAAGACACGGTTAATTTGGCCGGAGCGCATGCAGGTCCGCCACGAGCCCTCGTCGACGGAGTGCTTATCGACACCGGGGATTTCGTTCCATTATGTATTTCGCTGGTCCGCCCCCTTTGAAGATTATGATCCGCTTTCGAAATCCCGCGGCAAATACTTTTCGGTTAGTAAACGGCACCGTGAACACGTTAACACGCGCCCTTATTGGTTACCGGGACGTTTCGGACCAGTCTCTCGGATAGTGTAATGTTCTGCGAGCTAGTTTAATATCTTGTTGGATATATTATTGCTAGTGGGAGGTAGATATTTCGTGCGGTTCCTCCGGGGAATGGTGTTTTGCTTCTGCTATTGTATTTGGAGGTTTGAATGTTTGGGTGAGAGTTTGGGTGGTGGAAAGTTGGGAGTTTTAAAGTTTGGTAGGTTGATGGTTTGATTGTTTGATGGTTTCGGAATTTTGGAGTTTGGAAGATTGGGAATTTGAAAATTTGGAAATTTTTAGATTTCTAGATTTCTAGATTTCTAGATTTCTAGATTTTTAGATTTCTAGATTTCTAGATTGCTAGATTGCTAGATTTCTAGATTTCTAGATTTCTAGATTTCTAGATTTCTAGATTTCTAGATTTCTAGATTTTTATATCTCTAAATTTCTAGACTTCTAGATTTCTAAATTTCTAGATCTCTAAATTTCTAGACTTCTAGATTTATAGATTTGTAGATCTCTAAATTCCAGATTTATAGATTTCTAAATTTCTAGATTTATAGATCTCTAAATTCCAGATTTCTAGACTTCCAAATTTCTAGATTTCTAGATCTCTAAATTCCAGATTTGTAGATTTATAAATTTCTAGATTTATAGATATCTAAATTTCTAGATTTATAGATTTATAAATTTATAAATTTATAAATTCCTATGTTTCTATATTTCTATACTACTATACGTCAATATTTTTACTTCTATACTACTATACTTCAATACTTCACTACTTCTATACTTCCATACTTTTATATTCCCATATTCCCATATTCCTATATTTCCATATCCCTACATTTCTAATATTTCTATATTTCTATATTTCCAGATCCCCCGAATCTCTCCGAAAGCTCCAAGCACATCTAATCACAACCAGTCAACCACCGAAACGTCGCCAGCCCCATTTAACTGCTCAAGCATCGACGCTAATGACCGAGCTGCCAACTCTCCGACAAATCACGATGTTAGGTAATGGAACGTCTCGTTATTTTCATTGAGAATCTAATCCTAACGCCGACGGGGAGGGGAGGCCATCGGGAAAATACCACGATCGGGCCAGATTGATCGTTCACGCTCGCTTTCACCGGTCCCGTTTTTCCAACGGATTCCTGGCTGCCCGCCGATTTACGATACACACACCACGCCCGACAAGATACACGCGATTCCCACGGAAATGAAATTCCACTTCCGTGGACCGCGATAGTAATTGGATTTTCGGGTTCCGATACCGGAATCTCGGACACCGTTGGGACCCAACGAGAGACAGAGAGGCGGAGAGAAACGAAGAAGAGGGACAGGGGAATAGACAGTGGGAAAAAAGAGATCGTATCGACTCAACCATCGAGGATCACGCTCCAATTCCTGTTACCCTTTCTCTTTCCTCTCCCTCTCTCTCCCTCTCGCTTTCCCTCTTCTATCTTCTGCCCTCTCATTTCCTCCCTCCGGGCCGGTTGACTTTTTCGCGGTGGCGTTTTACATCGACGACACCGCCTCTTGGCACGGCACCGTTAATTAATCTTCGGAACAAAGCCCGATCCCGGAACGATTCGAGACCGTTACGAGCTTTAATGGAAAACCGGTGAAAGCTATCGGAAAGAAAAGCTGGATAGGGAGATGGAGACAGAGAGAGAGAGAGAGAAAGAGAGAGAGAGAGTTTCTCTGGCAGTGTACCAAGCTATCATCGTGTTGAGTTTGGTGAGTAGACGCTGGAGAATCGTCGTTTTATGGGTTTCGTTAATTAGATCGAGGATCTTTTTCCCTGTTTCGAATACAGCGGTAGTTTCAGGTTTTTGGGAACTGTTCCGTTTTATCGCTCGGAGTTCCGTTTTATGATTCCGCTGTCTAGACTTGATTCCTATTCTACATTTTTCGTGTCTTCTTTACTCGTTTACCAATTATTCTGGTGTTTATGACAGAAGCTTCTGTTTCCAAAGAATTTCTATCGTAATTCTCAAAATTCCAAATATGATTCAGTGATTTATCTGTACAAGAGTCGAAATTATTTCAATAATGTGGAAGTAATATCTATTACAGTATACGTCATTTACGAAGGGGAAACTTTCAACAGAGTTTAACCAATTAACTGCGTTTGACGAGTATACACGTCATCGTGAACGAAAAATCTCGTTTTTATTTAAACCTATCGTTGTAATTTTGCGAACTGCCACACCATTTAAAGAAATATTAACCCTTTGCACTCGGAAGTTTTTCACCAGGAATATTTTAAGATTTTGTAATGAGATAAACACGATATTTTGTGAAACTAACTCGAAGAGAAATCGCACGTATATTGAAGAACAAAGTTATTTTACTTCAATATTTATCAAGTTGATGCATTATACTAAGTATAATATTAAATATCAAATTTTATAGTTTTACTGTATGAAATCAAACGGTGAGTCACCTCTCTAGTGCAAAAGGTTAAACTCAATTAGAACTGATTACTTGTTTAATACTCATGAAATAATAAGGTATTCAAATATTTTTCATATAGTACAACTTATAAATTGATCTCATTGAGAAATCGACCAGTTTTCTAAGAATTAACCGGTACGCAATATGTTAACCCTTTGCACTCGACAGACGACTCAGTCACCACTTGATTTGATACAGCAAAACTACAAAGTCTCGCATATAATATTAAGCTTTGCATATCAATACGTATAATATTGAAATAAAGTAACTATCCTTAATTCACGTATGCTCTCTTAATTACTTTCAGAGAACATCGTATCCCATCAGAAAATCTTGCATATTTCTAATGAAAAACCTTCGAGTGCAAAGGGTTCACTGGTTAAATCCCTATTCGATATTATTTCGATGCGAAAGTAATATCCATCACAGTGTATACCATTCACGAAGGGGAAACCTTCAAGAGTTTCGATCCCAGTTAAAGGTCGATTCGACCGCTCAATAATCCTCTTCTATTTACTTGTATCTTCCCCCTGTTTTCGCCTCGCGAAGATCCGCGGAATGACCGCGGCCGGCTAATGTTATTCGGGAATCGTCGGGCCCAGTCGGAATAATTCAAGCCTGACCGATCAATCATCTCCCCGCGCGCGTCTGTTCCTCTCAGTCCCTCCGCAGGAACCGGAACGAAAGGAGCCGATCGATCACAATCGAACCCGCGATGTAAAATGCATTGGCCGATAATTCAATCGCAGACGCCGCGCCGGTTGCATCTGGCCGCGCGGTCGGACACATGAATCGCCGGCCGATCAATCGTCCAAGATTATCTCGTTCTTGGCTTTCCGCCATTTTTCACGTCGAGCCCGGAATTCGGCGGCGCGGGCCCGCGATACGGTTCCATTATTTACAATTAGTGACTGTGGATTTCTGTGCGGAGTAACGTCGCGCGGAACGCATAAAGCGGCGTAATACGAAACACGCTGGCGCGTCAGTGATTTTCGTTCATCGACGCGGGAACGAGGGGTTAGAGAAAGTCCATTAGTCGGTCGGTAATTAAAAATAGTTGGAGTTCCCAAATATTTCGTCGGCCTCGCGTTTTCCCGATTATAAACAACTGTATGGGAGATTGGAATTGAATGGAACTATCGGGAAACTAATTATCGGAGTGAATTATCGGGGAATCAACGAAACAGGCATATGTGCACGTAATTATGAAAGTAGTTTAAATCGGCGTACATACTTTTCTCTTTCGATTTAGTTTAAATAAGTGATAAACTCATTTAAAAATATAGAAAACAGTATTGTACGAAACTGAATATAATATTAACGCGTTCAGTGCCACGTGTACCACATATGGTACACGCCGATTTTCGTAAGAAAATATTTTTAATCTTAAAAATTATAATTGAAAATTTTAATCTTTTTTGATCTTTTTGTTTCGCAATTGATATCTTAAAAGCATTCAATAATTGAAATGATCTTGAAAATGAATAGTTTGATTTGAATACCATAATGAATGCCTGAAAAAACTGACAATAATCTATTGTTTCAATTTTTATACGGATTACATATTAATCGTATTCAATGCTCGGTAGTTCTAGTGTTAAATGCTCTAAAAGAACAATATCAAAATATATAAAAATCGCCGAGAACTTGAATATAACTTAATATTCTATTTAAAAAATCAATACAGTCCATAAACAAAATATAACCGAAATTGCCGTAGCACGGAACATATTAATAAAATATACAATAAAAATAAAGTAACCAGCAGAAAATTGGACATCAGACAATACTGCTTTCAACTGCGATCTCCGTTGAAAGGTAAGTCCATTTATTCTTCAGTCACGTCTTGTTTTAACCCTTTCGGCCATGGCGTCCTCCAAATAAATGCTTGGTGTCACAACCATAGATTCTATTCGACAATGATCGACTTCTTATCAAATTCTCTTATTAAAGACGCATATTTAAATGAACTCAGGAAAAAATAATTCCTGACCGAAAGGGTTAACACTTTACACTCGAGAGATGACTCTCACCATTTGCTTTGATATGCCGAAATTATAAAGTCTTACACAAAATATTAACACGTTAACTGTATAACATTGCTTATCGTATCATAAGAAAAGCAAATGGTATTAGCTTTAGTTATCAATTATAATTAACCAAGTGCAAAAGGTTAATATTCCTAAAACTGATTAAATTAAGGAAACAATTCTAAGCTAAAATTTCAAACAGTATCTATTAACACCATCAATAGAAATAGTGTCAATAGCGAGAGCAGATAGTACAGCAAGTTAAATTCGTTTCAAACAACGTCTATTGATTGGAAAACGTTGAATATTTCTAACGATAGATTTCCAAATGCAAAAGGTTAATATTCCTAAAACTGATTAAATTAAGGAAACAATTTCAAGCTAAAATTTCAGACAGTATCTATTAACACTATCGGTAGAAATAGTGTCAATAGCGAGATAGTACAGCAAGAAGTTAAATTCGTTTCAAACAACATCTGTTGATTGAAAATCGTTGAATATTTCTAACAATAGACTCCCAAGTGCAAAAGGTTAATATTCCTAAAGGTTTCAAAACATCCTCCGCGCGGATATATTTATCATGGCAGTCTGTAAACACCGTCGAACGAGAAGACTGCGGCGTAGGACACGGGGCCGGGAGACACGCTTTGTTTGCCCTCGGTTTTCGTTTACACCGGTTCGCGGTGAACGGGCCGCCGTGTTTGTGCGCTCTGTTTATTCATTGCGCGTCGAGCAGCACGCACTCCGCAATCGCCGGTCCTCCCCGATTCCCGAATAACGGCAGTCCGTTTGAAAGAGAAAAAAAGGAGAACAGGGGAACCGTCCAACCTTTGAAACTCGGTTTCTTCTCGCGACGAATTAATTCATCTATCTCCGCGTTTCCGCTCGCTTCGTCAAAGACCGTGTGAAACAGCGTTCTACGATTCTGAAAAATTTCCGGCTTTGAAAATGGAAAATGGTCCGTGTGCACACCGCTCCAGTGTGTACACCGATTTTTTGGGAGAAAGGGACGTACCGATGTAACCCGGATTTTTCTGGTTCTTGGAAGGGAACTTGGAAGGTTTTGTTCAGATTTTAACCGGTTAACTGTTTGACGAGTATACACGTCATAAAGCTTGATAGGGTACTAATTCTTATTGTTCAATACATCAATATTATTCAATTCTTTCGAATGCAAGTTACATATTATTCCTCTGTCATCAATGATAACGTTCGAGCAAGTGTTGACGTAGAATAACACTGGAATGTTCCCTTATTTCCAATGAATCATCAATAATAAAGTAGTTAGATCGATCACGATCCAGTCAGAAGTCATAGGACAAGGGGTTAACAATTCTAACTCCAAATTCCAAAGAAAAACTGTATGATAAAATAACAAAAAAATGTTTCTTCCAAAGACTAGTTCCCATTTAACCAGGGAACTGTGTTTGACGAGTATACACGTCATAAAGCTTGATACCAATTCTTTCCTGAATTCTTTATTTTCTCACATAAACATGTAATTCTTCGTTTCGCTTTGATCTTTCATTAAAATATACTCTACGTGCATTCGTCCTGCTTTCGACGAGTATACGCTCTATTTTTCTATTTTATTGCGTGGAACGAGAGGTTTTTCCAACTAAATTCCACAGTTACTGGTTAACAGTAACATTAGTGGACAGAGCGAATCGATCTACTTCAGAATTGTTGTTTCGTAAATATTTAAAGTCTGGAGGCGTTTTTGCGAGAGATTTGAAATGGTAGATACAGGAGTAGGAGATCCTTCGAATCTCAAAAAACGTGTTCTAATTTTGATAAGAAATCTGATGGATACTGAGTTTTTCAAATATTGTTCAGTAACAGTTTAATTTTCCAATCTACAATTTTCGCGATTTATTTAGACGAACACGTAGTTTCCCAGGAACGATAGAATAACGTGTAGAATAAACGTACGTAAATCTAGTGTTAATTACTCGGTTTTAGTGTTAACAAACATTACTTTCATAAAGAAATTTCAAGAAGTCAGCTTCTCTTTGTAGTCCAATTCAAACAATTGCCCACGAAATCTTGGTGAAGCAAATAGTTCCTCAAATAATTCTTCAAGGAACAACCATTACCTCCAGGCTTCAAGAAGTAAAAACTGCAGGACGTAATGGATTAAATTTAACCCTTTGCACTCAAGAATATTTTTCTCAACAAATATTCATAGATTTTCTGATTAAATATCAACGATATATTCAATAATTTCCCATAGAGACCTCTGTCATTTTAATAATTACAAAATGAAAATCTGGAGTGGGTCATTTCCATCCACCCAGTAGCTTCAGTGTTAACCCTCTGCACTCGGGAATATTTTCCTCAACAAATATTCATTATTTTCTGATGAAACATCAATGATACGTTTTACAACTCATATAAAGAAACACCTTGTACAAATTAAGTGACAAAACTAGTTTATTTCAATATTCCCTGTGTCGATGCATTATACAAAATTTGATATTGAACTCTAAATTCATCATAAATTTAATACACTGCCTAAATTTTCCTCTAATTATTTATTTTCATCTTACTCATCGCGTGCTTAGAAACTAAAAACAGAATAATCGCGTTACTCACGATCTTCGAAACAGAGAAGCGTAATCCAGTTTCCGAACCTTTCGAGTTTCCGCGAAGATCCTCGTCGCTCAAACGATTCAAACGCAATTATCGGAATACCCCGTCAGCCGGCAGCCTGCGAACATCATTGTTCCGCATTCACAGCGTCTGGTAAGACGGCTCGCGACGCCGTAAGCGGCCGAGCGTATTTTCCTCGCGTGTAATTCGCGCGCCGCGGCGACGGGAGCTGTAAAGCGAGCGACGTACGCGCGGCGTTTGACGAGCGTAACGCGGTGCCGGGACGTTAACGTCGCCGTTAAGACGACTTATCCGCCTCCGAGGATCAGCAGTAAAAGATCCAGCGGCGCGGGATGCACTGTCGCGCGTGATTTCCCTGTTTATACCTCGTGAACGCGCTCCGGCTCGGACGCGCGTCGGCTCCAACGTCTCGGAAAAGCGCGGAATTCCTTCGGCGATGAGCGCGGCGCACAGTCCCGCTCCACGGAGAGGAATGGGGAGAGAATTCTCCTGGAAACGTCGAAGCGGAATTGAAATGGCTAGGGAAATTTCGTTGGGGATCGTAACGTTGGACTTTTAATTTTCTCCGTTGCCCCGGAGCGACGGAAGTGCGCCTTAAAGCTCGGAGTTTTGTTTTATCGAGTGTTTGGGAGAGATGGAGATTGCAGGTGTGAGGATGAATGAAGCGTCGATTCGAAGCGTTGAATGGAAGATGAATTATCATTAATGGAGGATTCTAATTAAATCGATGTTTATAGGTTTGACGTAATACGTTTGGGATTTGGTGGATGTATTTGAATTGTGGCAAAAAGCTGCCTTACGCCACTGGTTTTTTTCACTTTCTGTTATAACTGTTCCTCAGCTGTCTGCTTCGTACAATCGCACATTTGGCGACCAGACCCGCGCGGGATTTTCCGAAGGTTTTCCAGGCCTCGCTCGCAACTGCCCAGTGGAAACTTTCCACTTATTACACATCTCTTTACTTGCCGATTCAGCGTTATCCTCCTCTATTTTTCGAATCTTTTCTCTTCTCGATTTTCTCCTACTTTTCCATCTTCCTTTCTTCATATTTTCCGACGATAGTGTTGAGGAAAGTATTTCTATAATTCATTTTGCTGTGTTTCACGTTTTCTGTATCGAATTTGGAATCGAGATCGATTTGTCTTTGATTTATTTAATGCTTTACTGTGTTTAGATTGTTTTTCGTATGTTCGATGCTTGTGGATAGATTTGAGTTTGAAATAGATTTATTCCACTGAATGGATAATATGGATAGGGTGAAGGGGTCTCGCCGAAGTTCACAATTGTCCTACCTATCAATGTACATTTCCTTTAAGAGGAAATTCATGAACTGCTTTGACTCCCTGTTCCGTATTCACCTCTATATCTTCAATTACCGTCTACAGTGAAACTTATTCTATAGAATTCATCTCCGATACACTGGTCTACAACCCGGTTTCCCATTGTTCTCGCGCTCGCCATTGTGATTGCGAATGTTACCTTCTAACCTTGCTCTCGAGGCCCACGGTTTGCTCTTCGTCTTTCTGCGAGTCGACCCCTTTCCTTCCGTAGAATCTTCGTTTTCCAGTATCATTGTATGAAAACAATACGGTATGCAATGTTTTGCCAATATAGTACTCGCATTTTCAGTACAACGAATCAGAGTGGTAAAAATACTAATCATCGTATCAACGTTCCACAAAGTTCCATATTTAGTAAGTTCCATACTTGCAAGGTTTTACGTCTCGAAAGTCGTAAATCTTAAAATTTCCACATCTCAAAATTTCTACGTCTCAGAGGTCCTACATCTCAAAATTTTTACATCTTAAAATTTCTAAATCCCAAAATTTCTACATCTTAAAATTTCTAAATCCCAAAATTTCTACGTCTCAAAATTTCTACGTCTCAAAGGTCCTACATCTCAAAATTTCTGAATCCCAAAACTTCTACATCTCCAAAGTTTCGCATTTCAAAATTTCCACATCTCAAAGGTCCTACACTTCAAAATTTCTACATCCCAAAATTTCCACATCTCAAAAGTCCTACATCTCAAAGGTCCCACACCTCAAAACTTCCACATCTCAAAAGTCCTACATCTCAAAGATCCTACACCTCAAACCTTCCACATCTCCAAGTTCTTCATCAAATTAAACGAAGTTTAATGTTGATTCACATTATTCCAATTGTACCATCAAC